AGTGTCATGCAAAATGTAGAAACCTGTCACCAGAAGGGCTGAGTTTGGCTTGTTAGGGGCTGGAGGTAAGGACAGAGAGCCCATATTTCCATTATCCAAGCATGTCGCCTTGTTTGCCACAGTGTCTTCTGGTAATGACATTTTGCTATAATTATATGAATAGCAAGCCATAGAAACAAAGTATTTTGGTGATTTTCTGTATAAAATGTTATTTGGGCAATGGTGTGCACTTGTAGTTCCAGCTAACCTGGGAGACTGAGGCAGGAGGATTGCTTGAGCCTAAGAGCCAGGCTGGGCAATGTAGTGAAACTTACCTGCCCCCATCTGAAGCAAAACTAATAAAAATATTTTCTTTGAGAGCAAACAGTAATTTAACAGGTTGTAAACCTTTTGAAGTTTGTCTTGAGCTGGGTCTTGTTATAGTGCCCAGGATAGCACCAAACTCTTGTGCTAGGTCCTTCTGCTTCGGCCTTGCAGTAGTTAGGACTGCAAGTGTGCCCCACCTACTGCTCCAAGGAGATTTTAAAGTCATTTTTAATTAAATTATGAAGATTATTTGAATTATTTTGAAAATACGTCAGGTGATTTTTTTGCTTTTAATTTTACTGTTTTGTGTGTGTGTGTGTGTGTGTGTGTGTGTGTGTATGAACACATATGTGTGTGTACAAGCATGTGTGTGTGTGTGTGTGTGTGTGTGTGTGTGTGTGTGTGTGTGTGTGTGTGTGTGTGTGTGCACGTACATGTGCTGTGGCATGCTTGTTGAGCTCAGACGACAACTTTGTGGAGTTGGCTCCCGGTCTGCCTTGCCATGGGTTCTGGAGGTTGGATTTGGGTTGACAGGCAGGTATTTGGGTTGACAGGCAGGTGTGGCTTGCGTTTGCCCACTGAACAGTCGCAGTTGCCAGGGCCTGGGTTTTGACTGGGTACTTGGAGTCGCTGAGCCTTTGTTCTGAGCAGCTGTCTCACCAGCAGGTGACATTGACTACAGCACAGTGCTGCTGGGCATGCTGGTGATGCAGGATGTGCAGCTGGGGCTCTTCATTGCTGTCATGCCAACACTTATCCAGGCAGGAGCAAGCACATCTTCCAGGTAAGTGTCTGTGCACTGTGTTTGCTTGTCTAACGCAGAGTCATTTGTTTATAAAAATGCTATACAAGGCCTGGCAGTGATGGCCCATGCCTTTAATCCCAGCACTCGGGAGGCAGGGGCAGACAGAGCTCTGATCTCTGAGTTTGAGGCCAGCCTAGTCTACTGAGGGAGTTCCTGGACAGCCAGGGCAACATAGAGAAACCCTGTCTTGAAAAGCCAAAAATAAACAAACAAACAAACAAGCAAACAAATAAATAAAGTAAAAAGGTATTGCTACACCAAACTTTCCCTAACGTGGCCCTAACTCATGTCCATATGTCTCTGAGCATAGGCTGTGGTAACACCAACAAACAGATTCTGGCTTTGCTGTATACTAACTCCTGGACTGGAATATTACACAGCTTCACTGCTGTCCACTGTGACTGTGGAGGCGGTGGTAGCTCATCTGTTCTAAGGCAATTCATGGGCTTAAGTGTGTCAATATGTGCACATGCCAAGGATAGCCTCTGGAAAGCAGTGACACATGTATGTCTTTGCACTCGTGTGTTGTGCCCTGTGATGACGCATAAGGTGTTATGGTGGATGACATTGCCTGCCATCATTATCACTACGATGTCCTCTTATCCGTCTTTCCATTGTTTTCCCCAAACAGCCCAAACCTGCCTGTACTTGCTTAGTCCATATGGAAGGAAGAGTCAACTGGGGAAAATTAACTTGACCAAAAAGCCTTTGGTTATGTTACAATGTGTCCAGCTGGCTTCCAGGAACACCAGCCAGGATATAAGCACAGATGGAAAATATAGGGAGCCCTGCAGAATGAGAAGAGGAGGAGGAGGAGGAGGAGGAGGAGGAGGAGGAGGAGGAGGAGGAGGTCATCGTCATTGTCTTCATGTTTGTGGAGCAAATACTCTTGCCTACTGGTCTTCCCCAGTCCCAGTAGAAACTCTTTTCATCCTGAAAAACTTTTTACTACAAAGCAGAGATCCCAAAATGATCCACCTTTGAGTCACATGACTTCATTTTCTAAATTAATGTAATATATAGATTTTATTTTAACATTTAAAAATAAAAATGTATATGATTCAGTCATTTATTTTGTAACATGTTAAAGAAAAATATTTTACGATTATTTATAGACTTTAAAGAAATATACTTGGAGGTGAAATGCCATCTCTTTCTTTCCTAGCATTGTCATGGAAGTACTGCGGATACTGTTTCTGATTGGACAAATTCTCTTTTCGCTAGCTGCTGTTTTTCTCCTCTGTCTGATCATAAAGACTTATCTCATAGGACCATATCACCGAAAGCTGCGTGTGGAAAGCAAAGGCAGCAAAGAAATCCTTATCCTTGGATTATCCGCTTTCATCTTCCTGATGTTGACGGTAATCCTCAAATACCTGTGATTTATATGGCCCTGTGTGCAGTTTGTCTCACTGAAGCCTGGGATAACCTCACCCTCTCACCTGGGAAGTGACTGAAACATTAAAGTTAGGAGTGTTTATTTCATACAGTTTATCCCACCATGGCTGAGCCTATTCGATCATTGCCAAGCACTCTGTGAAAATATGATTTGTGAGTGCTGCATGTTTCTGTTTGCTTTTCGAGACTGTGTTTGCATTTTTAAAAACAGATGTGTGTTCATGAAAAGGCACATAAGTATATTACTGTCTTAACCTTCATGCAGCTTTGCAGTCAAAATAGCAGATCAAATTTCAAACCACTTTTTATGCTTTCTGGTGGGGATGAGCAATGCTGTGACTTCTCTTGCCATATAGAATACCTTTAAAACAGATCCATGTATATATTTCAAAGAGAGCAAAGGGGGGGCATAAGAGGGCTTAGGGGAAGGAAAGGGAGGGGAAATGATATAATCTTAAAAAATAAAAGAAATAAAAACAAATATAAATAAAAATAAAATAAACCAGATTTGTGTTAGAAAGTAGACTTTTCATGAGAGAGTGAGGGCGGGGGAAGGCCCAGAGACATCCCTAAATAGTTTAAATAATAACAGCAGCATTGCTACACACCTCCACTGTACTGTTCAGCAGCTGTGCCATTCAGCATTGATCCCAGGAAAATGAAGGTGTATGTTCACTCAGAAACTCATGGATGTCCATAGTACTCTGGATTATGATAGTCAAATCCAGTGCAATTGTCCCTCAGGGTGAATGGTTAGAAACTGTGCTATATCGGGCTGGGGAGACAGTTCTGTTATTAAAGTGTTTGCCTTGAAAGTACCAGGCCCTGAGCTTGGATCCCCTGCACACATTCAAAAAGCCAGGCAGCAACAATTCCTGTAACCCATGAGTGAAGGTGCAGTGGGGCAGAAACAGCATCCCTGGAGCTTGATTGTCATGCAGTCTAGCTGAATAGGTAAGCTTGAACTTCAGTGACACAGCCTGTCTCCAAAAGTAAATATATAAAACATAAAAGGGAAAAAGAGTGAGATTGAATAAGGCACCTGATGTTGACCTCTGACCTCCATAAGTGCACACGTACACACATCAACATACAATAAATAAATAAGTAAATAAATAGAAATTATGTTATATCCATAGCAGGTAGTGCTGCCCTACAGTAAAACTGCTGGTCCAAACAAAGCCCAGGCAGCCGTGCAGAGTGAAAGCCGTTCTTCAAAGGCTGTGTGTGGCTGAGTGAATCCATGTGTGTAGTACTTATTAAGTAGCAATTTTAGAAAATGAGGAAGGAAGTGAGCGCTAGGGGTTGGGAAAGGCTGGCAGGTAGCCTAGCCAAGCCACCGAGTTAGACAGGACGCTGTCCTGGGAACCTAAGTGTTGCCCTTCAAACTGTATCTGTCTTGAGAGGAAAGGCTTCAGAGTTTTGAAGAGTAAGTCAGCAAACTCTTTCTTTACGTGTGGTGTTATTTTATAACTTTGGAGAAGCCCAGTTTTTGCTTCTGCTTGTGATGACTGTAATTATTTCAAAAATGTTCCTTCTATAAGAATCTCCCCTGCTTTATCCTTTCCAGAGTATTTTGTTTTTGAAAGTAACAGCAGTAAGGTCGTCTTGTCTGTGGAGTCCTTGTTGCCTTCCCCAGGAACATAGCATCCAGAGTGACTCTTCATGGGCACTTGGTTTTCCCCTCTGTTCACTCAACAGTGTTTGTTGGGCACCTGCTGTCAGGTTCTAGACATGACAGGAAGTGCTGGCCTTTTGCACTTCAGATGTTTGTAGAGTGCTCGCTGCTGCTGCTGCTCCCGTTAGGCGTGGTGTGAGAAAGCGGCTGTTAGTTGTCCCCATGGTTTTGCTCCCAGATTTAATTTCTAAGGGGATAGAATTGCTGGGCTTGGGGTGTACATCTGGTTATCTTCACTGCTGCTCCGGTTAGCCCAAAGCCTGATCTGTGACACTGAGATCGATGGGACCCAGGTTCGTCCACACCCTCCCACATTTGTTGTCTGTCTTTAGTCTTAGCTCTTCTGTTTTGTGTGTTTTCGTATACACATATGCAGTGGGTTCTGATCCACATTTCCTTGGGGCTGTTGGAGTCAGCTGTCCTTTTCAGTGATAACAAGATACATGGGATCCGCTCTGGGCTGCACCTTAATATGGTCTGGTTATTTCTCTATGGGACTGGTAATTTTCTTTTTCATGTGTAGGATTTAAAAGATATTTTTGGTAAGTTTTTGTCTCATTAAATAAGCAGCTATGAAATTATTTAACATAACCTTCATGTTTAAGCATCATACTGTGTGATTTGGCGATTCCCAGTGTGCTAACACTGCTGTGCCATTATTACACTGACAAGTGGCAGAACATCCCATTACTCTCCCCTCTCCACCCCATCCCCGTAAGCTCTGGTCTCTTGTCCATCAGTGTGGATGTCGCTGCTTCCCCATCCCCGTAAGCGCTGGTCTCTTGTCTGTCACTGTGGACTTGCTGCTGCTGCTTGGCATTTTTTTTTTAATCTAAATTTGATCAGACACCACATGGCAAATATCATCTGGCTTCTTCCAGCCTGATGCCTTCAGGTCCACATGTAGAATTGCCAGCACTTATGTCCATATGGTTGCATAGTGTTCTGTGTCACATCCATTCTTCCTAATGTCTTTCTGGCCCTGGCTTGCTCTTAATGGCAATTTTTAATAAACTGAGGTTCTTAGTTTCAATATAACCCAATAAGCAAGTGTTTTCTCTATGGTTAGCACCTGCCATATTCTGTATAGATATTTGCTACTCTGGGTCCATGAAGATGTTCTGTGATATCTTCTGCAAGTATCCTTGCTCCTCTTTTCTCATTTAGATCTGCAGTCCACCTGGGGTGTGAGTTCCATCCTTGGTGTGAGGTTTCTCACATGTATAAAAGAGCCTTTGCCCATTGCTTTGTAGGGTAGTGTTGTCAGAATCCAAATAGCTGTGTTGTGTATTTGTATGTACATGTGTTTAAATTCATTCTCGTACCTGTTGTGTGAGGTATATGTACACTTGTGTGCTTTTGTAAATACAAGTGGATAGCGTGTGTGTGTGTGTGTGTGTGTGTGTGTGTGTGTGTGTGTGTCTAGTGGGTTGATATGTATACGTGTCTGTTTGTGTGGGGAGGTGCTTATGTATGGGTGGGGTGTTATTTTGATTTGCAGCTGCTTTGCCTCTTAATCCATGCCTGCTCTCACGCTGTGTTGTAGCCTGACATCCAGTAGCATCCTGGCCCAAATTTGGTTCTGTGTCAGGATCATCATAGTTTTACTTGTGATTTCTTCAACTTCATGATTCCTGCATGCATAAGTCTCACAGGCATTCCTAAGTGTGTCGATAAGTGGAGGGGGTATTGACACCTTCCTGGTGCAGAGTGTCTGCATCCTCACTGTTGAGTCCTTGTGGCACCTTAGTGGCATCTTGTGTTAGATATGAAAGTCCTACCATTTTGTGACATCTGTGTCTTGATATTTGATGTTTTTTTTTATGTCATTGTAAGAGGTACTTCTTTTTAAAATGTTTTATATTGGATTGTTGCTATTTTCTATAATTTCAAAATACCTTTGCAGCTGTTTTGTTGGTGACCTTCCAGAAGCCAGTCTTGAGCTCTGTGCATAACAGGGCAAGAGTTAGAGAACAGATCTATGATGACCATCTGTTCCATCTGACCTGGTTTGCTAGTTTATGTTTCTCATCCTCTCTGTAATGGTGGAGCTTTCTCTGTACCCTGTCAGTATAGTTTCCTGCTGGCGATTGTCTGTCCTCTCTGTGAGGATTGAGGTCAGTAACAGTCTTAGTGCTGAAGTCTGGCTCTCATGCAGATAAAAGCATGTATTACAGTTATTCAAAGAAAAGGTTGAAGGGGCTGGAGAGATGGCTTAGCAGTTAAGAGCACTGGCTGCTCTTCCAAAGGACCAAGAGTCAATTCCTAGCACCCACATGGCAGCTCACAGCTCTCTGTAACAGTTCTAGGGGATCCAACACCCTCACACAGACATACATTCGGACAAAACACCAATGCATATAGTATTTTTTAAAAAATTAAGAACTAAAATAAAGGTTGGAAAATATCCTCATTTTAAAATAGTACAGTTGCCAGGTGTTGGTGGTGAACACCTTTAATCCCAGCACTTGGGAGGCAGAAGCAGGTTGATTTTTGAGTTCTAGGCCAGCCTGGTTTACAGAGCAAGTTCCAAGACAGCTAGAACTGCTACACAGAGAAACCCTGTCTTGAAAAACAAAAAAACAAAAAACAAAAAAAACAAAAAAAAAGAAATTAATTTTTTTTCTCTCCTCAACCAGTGTTAGTCTGTTGTGTACAATCTCTCTGGCCATTCATGGGTGCTCCTGGGGCCGCATATATGAACATGCATCTGTGGGGTGGTGCGTTCCTGAGTGAAGCTGATTCCTCATCCTCAGGTCACAGAGCTGTTGGACGTCTCTATGGAGCTTGGCTGCTTCCTGGCTGGAGCACTGATCTCTTCCCAAGGGCACGTTGTCACAGAGGAGATCATGGCTTACATCGAGCCTATCCGTGACTTCCTGGCCATTATCTTCTTCGCATCCATAGGTACTCCTCTCAACACTGCAATTCCTTTGATAAGTGTGTGAGATTCGTCTGTTATGTCTGTGTATAAATATGCTTATTTTAAAAAGGGAAAATGGGCAAAAAAAGTCAAGAATTAACTGGTTGCTTGTCAGGTTTCATGAGTTCAAAGGTGAGAATGTGTGTAACCATTTAAAGTGAACTTCAGGGGCCTAAACTTGATCCTAAGGATGCTGTGCAACTGTGGGAATACAATGGGCTCTGATGCTGGAGCCTGAGCAGCAGATGGAGGACACCTAAAGCATCCTGCTCTGCTGTGGTCTGTATATTGAGTGTAGTCCCTCAAGATGAGGAAAGCCAGTCCTGAGATTTACATAGAAATACAAAAGGCTGTACTCAGCTCTGTCTGTCTTGAAGGAGAGGTTCACAGTGGGGTGGCCCAGCAGCCATAAGGGGGCTGCAATGGGACTTTTTTTTTTTTTTTTTTTGGTTTTACGAGAGGGTTTCTCTGTGGCTTTGGAGGCTGTCCTGGAACTAGCTCTTGTAGACCAGGCTGGTTTCGAACTCACAGAGATCTGCCTGCCTCTGCCTCCCAGGTACTGGGATTAAAGGTGTGTGCCACCATTGCCCAGAGCAATGAGACTGTTTTACACTGTCTTAGTGCTCTAGGTAGGTTTTTGGGCACAAGACATCAGCCAAGTGCAGGATGACCGACAGAGAACTGGACCCATCTCTCGACTCTCATCAATACTCCAGCTTCACCCTGTGATACCCACTGAGCTTGCTGACAGCTGTCTAGTTCTGACTCTCTGGACTTCTGTTCTTACTCGATGGTCTGTTTTCGTTGAGGCAGGCTCCAAGATTTATCTGATGCATTTTTACTCAATGGTCTGTCTTCATTGAGGCAGGCTCTAAGATTTATCTGATGCATTTTTACTCAATGGTCTGTCTTCATTGAGGCAGGCTCTTAAGATTTATCTGATGCATTTCCATATTTCCCAGCTCACCTGGCTCACGTATGCTCCCCTCCATATCTTGGCATCTGGAGTCATTGAGTATCCATATTTTGTTTGTTTGTTTGAGACTGGGTCTCTTTATGTAGCCCTGGTGGTACTCAATCTGTAGACCAGACTGGCCTCAAACTCAAGGAGGTATTTCCTGCCTCTGTCTCTTGAGTGCTAGGATTAAAGACTACAAGTAAAAGTGAGTATCTAAATTTTGGGGTAGTTCTTTTTTTTTAAGATTTGCTTTATTTTTATTTATGTGTATGTGTCTTGTGGGTATCTGCACATAAGTGAAGGGCTCATGAGGCCCGAGATGTCAGATACTCCCAGAGCTGGCATTGGTTGTGAGCCACCCAATGTAGGTGCTGGGAACCAAACTCAGGTCCTCTTCAAGAGCAGTTTCGTGCTCTTGACTGCTGAGCCATCTCTCTAGCCCCTAAGTATGTCTGTTTAAACCTGGATTTCTGCCAGGTGGTTATTTGAACAGAAACATCTGCTTCCTGATTTTCAGATCAGGGTAACAATTCCACATGTGTTGGCTTTGATTCTTTATGCTAAGTATATCAGGGACATTCAGGTTTAGTTCTGAAGAAACTTGCATACAGCCATCCATTTAATATCTGATCACTGGGTCATCTTTTCGTTCAGGGCTCTAGTCACATAAATGACATGCTCTCCACTCAGAAGACACTTAAACCTTGAGTGAGGCAGGAGCATAGCTGCAGGTGCTTGTTAGCAAGTCTAGAAACAGTTGTTCTAGACAGTGACAGCAGCAATCACAGGACATTGCCAGCAAGCTGCATCTGAGAGGAGACTGCCTTGGAGGGCATGAGGAACAAGGAGCAGTTCCCATAGTGAGGAAGGGCTTTCTGTACTGAAGGAAGACACCAGGCTGATGGGGAGAGTAAGAGCTGTTGTGGGGCTGGAGACTTCGTGACCCGGGGTTCTGTGAGCTGCAGAGTGGAGATGTAGCCCCAGATTTCATAGCCCATGTTCTGACCAGTGACAAGAGTTAGTCCTTGTCCCAACTTAGACTGTCCCCTGTTTTATAAATGAAGCCACACTTTTCACTTCTATTATATCAGTGGTTAGCTTTGGATGTTATTACTAAAGACCCCAGACCAGGTCCCTTAAACAACAGATACTTCTCTCATGCCTCAAAGTTTCTTTAATAGAAAGAAACTGCCTATGGACTCCATCTTACTAGACACAGTCCTTCCAGATGGGGCTCACCCCTATGTCGTCACACCTTGGTGACCTCTTGTAGACTCTAGCCCCCATAGCCCCTGTGGAGAGAGTTTCAGCCCAAGTTTGTAGAGCATAGTTATATGCATAGTATGCTGCAGTAGCAGAGCTTGGTCTGGTCCTGTGGTGGTGTCGGTGCCTCTGGAGAAGGGAGGCTGCTGCCTGGCACTGCCTGCCATCCACATGTGGTTCTATGAGCAATGCACCCACTTGGTCCAGTTTTGAGTTTCTCACCCCTCTAAATTGGGATTAAGAATATTCCGTGGGCAGGGCCTAGTAGTTGGTCATTACACACCTAATGGGATCTGGCTTGGGGGAATCTTGCAGACCTTACACCCATGGCCTGGGCATCAGCATAATGGCCATGAGGCTGACCATGTACTTCACATGGCATATTTCATCTACCTGCCTCTCAAGCCCATACTTACAGTTGAGGAAGGAAGTACTCTGAGACCAAGAGACTGGGTGGGACAGTGGCAGGGCCTTCATAGTTTGCCTTACACTGCCAAGCATGTGAGGTTCACCATGAGAGCAGCTAAAGCAGCTTCACAGCTGGTGGCTCATTTGCTCTCCTGTCACTGATGGCTTGTGGCAAAGTTGTTGAGATGCAGATTTTCTGTCTCACTTTTGTCATGTTCTCACCGCTGGCTTCAGTGGATTCTGTTTCCCAGATGTTCCTTCACACGCTTCTGGGCAAGGTGATGCCATCCACAGAGCCTAAGGGCTCTGGGTAGGCATTTTCAGCTTACAGCACAGGTGCGGGAACCCCCATTGTGGATGGGCTAAATGAATGGCATCATTCCAGGAGAGCTGCCATAATTAGGGTAGGATGGAGAGTATTTCCTGGGAGGAAGGGGGTTTCCTGGGAAAGCCTAGGGATGGGAGAGGTCAGACCAATGCCTGGCTTAGGGCATTCCATCAGACAGATACGGGTCAATTGGGAGTTGTCCACAGCTGAGTCGACCTCTTGTTGGAAAAGAGATCTTCCTGGGTGGCCTGCAGGTGGGAATCTAGGAAGACAGAGGGCTTAGGTGCCTCAGTGTGTAGGTTTGTTCCTGTCCCATGAGGGCTGGGGCTGGGGACTCTGTACCACTGTGGTTGTTGTGGGGCAAGATGAGTATTACTGTACCACACATTGCTCCTGAACTTAGTTGTATCTACATAAACGGCCATGACACCAAAAATATCTAAACTATGGCATTATCAAGGAAGTGTGCATGGGCTGGTGGTATAGGTCTTGGATGTCCAGGGCTGGGCAGCCTGTAGGACTTATAACCAGCTAGCAAATGAGGAGACTCCAGGGGCCTGTCATGGGCCTAATGGGCCTTGAGGACCATTCAGGAATGTGGTTGGAAGAGGGAGGGGTCCAGTGATAGGTTAAGGCAGCAGTCTGACTTCCAGGCATGAGCTCTGACAAAAGATCCCTAAAGGGGAGTTACACCAGATGGAGCCAGGAGTTGGGGAGAGAGCCCCAGAAGGGCCTGGGATGCCCAGCTGGAGAGGCTGGAGGGTCACGTAGATATATACCAGAGTCTGAACCAGTTTGGGGAAGCATCTCCATGTCTTAGGAAGAGGAAGCTGTCTAGGAAAGAAAGGGAGCATTCTTACATTCATGTTTGTGAGTAAAACAAAAGCATGGTCTATAGGAGCTGAGGCTGTGGAGTCTACTGAGTGGCTGGCTCTGAGGCCAAGAGCCTCTGATGGGAAAGGAGGTCTCCAGTTACTGGTGTTTTCCTGAGAAGATGACAAAGCTTTGAGTGGGCAGAGATGCTTCCACCTGTAGCCATCTGTCCCTTTCCGGAGGGACAGAGGACAGTGAGAAGTACCTAGGGTGAGGCATGCCCATGGTTTCTTCCTTGTGTGAGCCAAGAGAGAAATGACAAAGACTGCATGGAGATGTGGAGCCTTTCCCGATGTTTCCTGTGGCTGCCGTGCCCTAGTGTGTGTACCCTAGTCCCCAGTCTACAAGGAGTGCTGGATCCTGTGCCTACCTGGGCATTTTGCTGCATTCTCTGCAGGTATGCCCTGATGGAGGAGGGCTGCTGTACCTCTTTCTTTCCCTAAAAGAGGGAGAGGGTTTTGCCAAAGCACTCAGAAGGACTTGGGTTTTAGGTTAATTCTTCTGTAAGAGCAAGTTTAATTAGTGTGGTGGAGTTATAGATATGCCATTGGAAGATGTCTCTGTCTCCCACAGGGCTTCATGTGTTCCCCACCTTTGTGATCTACGAGTTGACTGTGCTGGTATTCCTCACCCTGTCTGTGGTCGTCATGAAGGTATGAGGCTGTCTCTGAGCACTCAGAGCTGGTCAAGTCCACACTGCTGTGGACTTATTATTTGTTACTTATTACACAGCAGAACATTCCCCATTGGCCCTCATTTCCAGCAGCCACTGCATAAATCCTGCAGAGCCCCAATGACACCCGTGTCTCCAAGTGCCACTGTGCACAGATGGTTCCCATCCATGCCCTTGGCAGACCCAAGGGAGGCAGGTCTGGGCCAGTGGTTTGGATGCTATGCTAGGATGATGTGTTGTTTCAGAACTGAGGTGTTGTGAAGTAGCAGAAGTCAGGTGACGAGCATCTTTTTGGGTCTGCAGGCTTGTTGTAGATAAGTCTGAGGGGCTGCCAGTGCCTTCTTCCTGATGGAGATGTGTTTCAGCATACAGGAAATCCAGTGGGCACTTCCAAATGTCCATCCTCATGGGCACAAATTACTGTGTGACCTGCACTGGTGCCTAAGTCACAGTGTGGCTGCCTATTTAGCAGTATCTGGTGAGTCGCTAGTCCTGAGCTTCCTGGCAGCTCCAGGCTGTTCACCAGAGAACATCTCATGTATGGAATGAACCTGTCTTGAACACTTAATATTTAATGCTATTGATTCAATCTGATGGGGGAACTCTTATTTTCTGTCAATGAATCTAAACCTTTCATTTTGCCTTCTAGTTCTATGTGGATTTAAGATAGTTTCTATTTATTTGGTGCCTTCTGGCTATTTGACATGCTGCTACTTTCCTTCTTGATTCATGAAGCAATGGCTGCCACTGATGTTTTCCATCGAGGTTCTGTATTATGAGAGTAATTTTGTTTGGCCTTTGGTCATGAGTAGTGACGTGATAAACTCTTCTTCTTACAGTTTGTATTGGCAGTGTTGGTCTTGTCTCTCATCCTGCCAAGGAGCAGCCAGTACATCAAGTGGATTGTATCAGCGGGCCTGGCACAGGTCAGCGAGTTCTCCTTTGTTCTGGGGAGTCGAGCACGGAGAGCGGGCATCATCTCGAGAGAGGTGAGAGTCTATAATTTAACAGGCATGATAGCCCTGTGGAACACATAGAATGCTTCAGTGCAAGCATTTCTGGCAAAGAGTGAACACTGTCGCTGACTCACACTGTGCCTGACTTGGGAGTCCAGGCACACCAGGCCTCGGGGACAGCAGCATGTTTTCAGTGGGCATTGAGCTGGCCTGGAAGGAAGCCTTTGATGGGAGTCATGGAAGCTGGACCTGGCTGCTTCCTTTTCATTTAAGGTCTTTAATTTCTTAGATGCAAATAGCCAGTTAATCCTTCTGTTGTCTTTTATGCTTCATCTTAACCAAAAAGGCCAAGAAGCAATGCCGTTGTCTTTCACAGCAATAATTAACAGGCTGAGGAGAAATAAAAGGTGGGCTATTATCTTGAACCTACAGTAGAAGTCCCCAGTGAAGCACAGGGAAGCCTGCGGAGCATGTCCTGTTCAGTGGTGGTCTCTCTGTGTGAGCAGTGTGAGGAGGTGGCGGTGTGAGGGACATGGTAAGGGCACAGTAGAGGCCTTCCTGATGAGTGAATGAGGCATCTCTGAACCCGATGCACAGCTGCGTCATGGGGAAAGCCTGGATCCAGTTTGAGTCCCACTGACTTGTGTGGGACCCTGGAGGGGTCACTTTCAGGCTAGCACAGAAACCAGGCTGCTACCCTGAGATTTATCAGAACTCACCACAGAACTTTCTATCAGTGGTCAAACCCCAGTTCCTCCCACTGTAAATGTCCCCTCACCCACTCTGGTTGTCAGTGTACCTCCTGATGCTCAGCACGTCTAATCATTGTGCTCACTGAAAACCAGAACTTCCTGATACTCAGTGAGACACACGGGCTGTAGGCTTACCTTCTGGAACTCCTGTGACTGTGCTCATTTACCTGTTGCAGGTGTACCTCCTCATTCTAAGTGTGACCACACTGAGCCTCTTACTTGCCCCAGTGCTGTGGAAAGCGGCCATTACAAAGTGTGTGCCAAGACCAGAGAGGAGGTCAAGTCTCTGACAGCACCAGATGACAATGGACTGTGGGCTGGGGGTCCTTCTCAGGAGTTTGGAGTCCTCAGATGGTTTGTTGCTGCACCGTCAGTCCTGCTGGCCTACCTTCAGAGACAGAGCAGTGTCAACAAAGAGGCAGTGTCCTCATGTTTGCTTGCATTTTTACAAATTCTCCTGTCATGTTTTTCCGGAGTAATTTATTTGCAGTCAGTTGATTATGTACAGAGTTTTGACACTGCATTTTACAGTCACCTGAGCTATTTTGCCTTGATGTGCCTTTTTTTAAAAAATGAAGATTATTAACTTCCTATTGTTAATTCATCAGCCCATGAGTTTTTGGTAAAGAAGAAAAATTAGAAAGCCTTTTTTATTTATTGTACAATTATAATTTGTTGGTCAAATATTTGTTATTAAACATTATGGTTATATGAGATTTTAATTTTATTTTTAAGCTTGGAAGCTTACTTTTGATCTTTAAAGACTTGCTGTCCTCTTGCCTCTTGTAACTATTTTAAATAAAACATTTTCATGTTGATTTTTATTAGTTTTACTTTAAAGATAATTTGATTTTGAATCATAAGACTATGCATTCTTAAATAAAGCCCACTTGTGAAAAGGGCATAATACTTGAAACTCATTGAGAATCTTGCTTTTTAAATTAGATTTCTGTGTTGAACTAATCATTTCACAAAACCTAGCCAATGGTTATTTTTTTTTGTTGTTTTTTTTTTTTTTGGTTTGCTTACATGTATGAATGTTTGCTGCATATATATATGCATGTATATTTATATAAATGTATATGCATCTTGTGTGTTCCTGATGCCCGAGGAGGTCAGAACAAGGGGGTTAGATACCTTGGAACTCCAGTTATGGATGATTGTGAGCCACTGTGGAACCAGGGACCTCTACAAGACCAACAAGTGCTCTTAACTACTGAGCCATCTCTCCTGCCCCATCAGACTTTTTCTTTTGCAAGGATCATTCATGTGTCATCATACAGTTCTTAAAGACCAGATGAATACATTTAAAAAATGTTTGACTTCTGACTTTGGAATTTAACCGTTATATTTACTTATTAGTGCCCTAGAAATGAAGAACTGGCCCTTACCAGAGCATCATTGAGGGGCATATTTAGTCTCTTCATGACTACAGCATAGCCTGTGACTGGGTAATGTCAGGAACTGGAATCTGTCCCTCTGCCTCTGGGAGGATGCCCTGGGGCTGCATGTTACATAGGGCATTTCAAGGAGAGAAGAATTGCTGAGGGAGAGCCTACTCCCAGGAGCTTGTGGATACCATAATTAATCCATCTGTGAGGTCCTCCCTGGTTTAAACTTTCTTGGGTCCCACCTCCCAACACTGTATTGGGGATTAAACTTGTTAACACCTGAACTTTGGGTACAGAAATGTTCACACATGGTAGGTATTTTATTTTTCAATTACATATATTTGCTTTTATAGTTGGCAGTTACAATTTATAGATATGTGTGTGTATACTGTAGAACATAGCTGTTACTTTTGTTTGTTTGTTTGTTTTGTTTTTCGAGACAGGGTTTCTCTGTGTAGCTTTGGAGCCTATCCTGGCACTCACTCTGGAGACCAGGCTGGCCTTGAACTCACAGAGATCCACCTGCCTCTGCCTCCCAAGTGCTGGGATTAAAGGCGTGCGCCACCAACGCCCGGCCATAGCTGTTACTTTTAACAAGAATTTCTCCATAAATACTGGTTTTAAGGACAAATTTACTGTCATACTGAGATAGAGGGACAGATTTGTGTTTATATAATATAATATGTATGCATATTATGGATTGTAGTAATATAAACTAAAGCATTGAAGTCAGTTGAAATAGACTGTATCTTTGCTAAGTGGAGAACAACATAAACAGAGGCTTTTAGGAAATGGTTTGCTCTTCTTCCTAAGTGGCATCAGATTGCTGCTGCCACCCCCACCCCCGTGTGCTTAGGATGTGCTAAAGGAGTAAGCTGGTGCAGTTGCTGGCTAAAAGTGACTAGAGGATGTTTTGTGACATCTGAAGAAGGCAAAGGTTGCCTGAAGAGACTGACTGGGAAAGGGCAGTGTCAGGAGTCCAGAAGAGAGAACTAAAAGAGGTCATGTTCACTGCCTTCCAAGAGGTTGGTCATCCGCTGCAGGACATCAGGACTTGAAAATAAAATGTATCCATGGAGTTTGCTGTAGCAAATGCTGCTCCTCCAGTTACAGGGGTGGAGGCACATGCATCCAAGAACCTATGTTCCCAGAAGATGGGGTGGTGGTAGGGGAGGACATTATGTCTGGTTTCTCTAGCTTTCACCAGCCCACATCACCTTGTCATGGTCTACATGCTGCACACTGATCAAGACAGAGCTACATAGATTCAGAGTTGGAAATGTCTTCCTGTCACCCATTTGGGTGGGGCTTGAGTAGCTGAGGGGATGGAGCCAGCTCACTATCCTTCTTGAAGTTGGTTCCAGAAAAGCCAAGGCTCTTGGAACACTTGGAGACCCCACTAAGAAGATGAAGGGAAAGAGAGATGTGTGTAGAAAGGCCTGGGAGGAGCTGACTTCAGAATGGAATGTAGGGAAAAGAAGATGGCTGTAGGCACTTTCCTACCTTGTCTGTGGGGCCTGATGATGACGACATGACCCCTCACAAAGGACTTCATGTTCTGGAGGGGAAGGGATGATAGATGGAGCCAGCACCTCCAAGTAGGGAGGAGGAGATTGGCCTGGAGGGACAAATGTACGCGCACACATGCATACATGCATGTACACACAAGCACGCACGCACACACACACACACACACACACACACACACACACACACACACACACATACACACGCGCGCGCGCGCGCGTGCGCGCGCACGCGAGCGCAGGAACAAGTTGATCTGGGAGTTTACCTGAGCCTAGTTTCCAGCTCCTCATACCCTTCATGCCTTTCAAAAAAAAAAAAAAAAAAAAAAAAAAAAAAAAAAAAGAGCGCATGATATAAAAAATTCTTATTTTTTTTTGCTTGACATTTTCCTGCAGTTTTTTTTTTTAATCTGTGAGACTATATAATGACCTCAACATTGCTGCTCATGATAGGTGTCAAGTAGAACAGTGATTTCTATTTTCAACTTTTCAGGCTTGCATTTGACCCAATTACCAGGTCTGAAATACATTGTTTGCTAGTTAGGATAAAATCTAATTTTGAGGTTCCACCTTGCAATCACTTCCTCTTGGTGCCAGTGTTCTTGTCATCTATATTTTCTCTGACCCAGCTGTCAATTATACCGAATACACACAAAAAAAGATTTAACTTCCTTTCATAGGTTTGGAGTTTCTGCTAAAACCAAGCATAAATCGCATCCAACCCAGCAGTTATCTGGCACTTAACCCAGGTGAACTGAGAATTATTATATCCACATAATCTGCGCATAGTGGTTTAGAGCAGATATTCATAATTGCAAGAACTCAACCTAGAACCTTCAGTGATCAATAATCTGTGATTATTGGGGTGGGCCTAGGCCCTATCCCAAAGGATACGCCTGCCCTCAAAAAACTTCAAGCTGCAAACAGAGACCTGTCAGCAGGACTGAGCTGTTTGATGGGATGCCTGAGCGGCATATGACAGGTAGTCAAGCAAGACCTCTTATTGAAGGAAATGTGTAAAACATGAGAAAGAAAGCTGCCTGGGTAGAGGAGAGGTGGGGTTAAGGAGAACAGCTGGGGTGGGGTGAACTGCATTGGAAAGATGTGGGGGAAGGTGGTGCTAGAACAGAAAGAAAGTTGGGAGATTGTGAGGTCAGGCCAGAGAAAATCCTGAGTCACTAAATGTTCTGGGCCTGGAGTTAGCTATCATAAGGATTGCCAGCTTGTATGTGAAATGGGAAGGCACTCAGGACTAAAACAAAATGGGTGACTGGCTGATTTGACTACATATTTACAGATTGCTATGGCTATCCTGTAGAGGGCATGAGTGGAGGCAGAAAGATGTAGCAGCAGGAAGACACAGGGGTCCAGAAGAAATCAGATGTTAGCATAAGGTATGGAGGTAGGTAACTATGGAGACTATACTCCAGCCATTCATCCGTGCTGTCTGGGTTCACCCTCATTGAGACATTATCCAATTTGTATCAAACTATGACAATAGGCTCTGCATTCTCTTTTATTTTAAATTAATTTTTCCATACAGTATATTCTGGTCACAGTTTTCCTCTCCAGATCCTTCCTACTATCACATTCATCCAACTACACAGACTCTTTCCCCTTAGAAAACAAACAGGCAAATACTAAAAACAAACAAACCAGAATGAAACAAAGCAAACAAACAGTAACAAAAGAAAAAGCACAATAAACATGTACATACACACACACACACAGAGAGAGAGAGAGAGAGAGACCATAATTGATAAACAAAAGATAAGTAGGAAAAAATGCTCAAGCATAAAACAGCTCCAAAACCACCACTTTGTCTGTTTTGTGTTGGCCATCTACTGCTGAGCATGGGATCTGCCTAAGTGTGGTTTGTATACCCAGGGAGACTTCATTGGAGAAATGTCTTTGGCAAGCAGTTGTCAATTGGAGATAGATTTTGGGTTAGGGCTGAAAATTTGTGTTCAGTTCCTCTCTCAGCACTGGAACCCCTTCTGGCTTAGACCTGTGCAGGCCCTGTGCATGCAGCCACAGTCTCTGTGAGTTCCTATGGGCATCCGGCCTGTTGTATCTGGAAGGCAGTTTACTTGGTGTCTTCTATCTCCAGTGGTTCTTATCATCTTTCTGCCTCTTCTTCCACATAGTTCCCTGAACCCTGGTGGAAGGGATTTGATAGACATCCCATTTAGGACATAGTGTTCCAAGGTCTATCACCCTCTGAATATTACCCAGTTGTGGGTGTCTGTATTAGTTCCCTCACTAAAATCAGAAACAAGACAAGAATGCCTACTCCATGCAGACCTATTCAATAAAGTACTTGAAGCCTCTGCATTCTAATTCTTCTACATTCAATCCTTCACCAAACTAGCTCAGAACACCATGGCCCAGTATAACTGTGACGACCTATTCAATAAAGTACTTGAAGCCTCTGCATTCTAATTCTTCTACATCCAATCCTTCACCAAACTAGCTCGGAACACCATGGCCCAGTAACATACTAACCTATAACTGTGACCTACTCCTGGATATCTGTGAACTCTAGACTATTTAGTGACTACCTAATTACCTCTCACTGTGTTTGGTTAGTTTTTAACTGTTCACCTTGGCACAACCTGTATCTCTTAGTAGAGAGTAATAATGCCAAATTATTTAGCTCAAGTTGACCTGTTAGGGGTTGTCTTGATTGTTGAGTGATGTAGGATGACCCAAACCATTATGAGTGATGTCATTCCCTAGGCAGGGGTTCCTGAACAGTATAAGAGAAGAGAAAGATAGTTGCAAGACAATAAGGAAGTAAGCAGGTCTACATGCATGTTCTTGACCATGGTTATGATTAGTTGTTTGAGTTCCTGCCTTAATTTCCCCTCAATAAGGGACTGGAACCTGGACTTGTAAGCTAAATGA